ATCAAAAGGTGGACAGAAGAGAAAAAAATCCTGTGATATTAAAACAGAATTAGGAGATCTCATCAGTGTCAACTTGAGATTGCTTAGCTTTCCACAGAAAGGATCTAGAAGCAATTACAGCTCTGTACCAAACAGCACTGCGGCATCTACACCTTAGTTACGAACACTGTTCCCCACATAAAGGGACATTCTGACATCTTAGAGAAAGGACAGATTGCAGGGCTGAGACAGGGTAAGGGAAAATGAAGCTCGGAAGCTCTTGTCCCAGAAGAGCAAAGAAGTGCTCTCAAACCTGGTGGGTATTCTCGCAAAAACCACCTCCCTCAGCACAGGAGCTTTAAAGAGCTCGAGATGGCCAAACCGGGGAGAATTTACACTTCAAAATGAATCAGGACAGGAATAGATTATAACACTCAATCAACAAAATCATCCACGAATCCACCCTCATCCTAAAACTTTATTTTAAAAGGAATGGGGCAAGAGAGGAGACAAAGGGAAAGCTTTTCTGGAGAGTAGAATGCCAACCAGTAACTGTAGAAGGAAAGATAGAAATCGAAAATCATTATTTTGCAAGAGCAAAACTCACCAAGGGATGACAAAATATGGGGTAAGAGATTGCGGGGGAGCAGAGTGTAAAGAAACACTACAGACACCTACCTTAACCTGGGGATCAAACTTATTATAATGGGACAAATTGTCCCATGTGCCCCTAACACACCCGCTGATGAGAACACAGCATTGTCTGGGTCATACTCCTGCCAGCAATGTTTACCTAGGCCTAAGCTGAAACAGGGAAGGAGTCAGACAAATACAAATAGAGAGAGAGCCTGCAAAAAAAAAAAAAAAAAAAAAAAAAACTGAACTGGGATCTTGAAAAAGAGACAGACTACAGACACACAAACAAAATGAAAAACCAAAGGGGGGAAATAAAAAAAAAAAAAAGAGTCCGGGTCTCTGTTCTTCATTAGTAAATACTATGGGATATTCCCTTGCTAAAGAAAAAAATCCAAAAGGAAGACCTAGAAACCAATGGCAACCGAGAAAGCAATTAAAAAAACAACAAAAAAAGCCCTCTAAAAATTCTTCATTACAGAAAAAAATAATAACCTTAGAACTAATATCTGAGATTATGTTAATAGGAGAGGTGGTTGGAATCGAGAAGGAACTGAAGGCATGCAGACATGGTTATTTTGTACAAAAAGAAGCTACAGATTCTGATGAACTCCAGAGGATAAAAAATATTTAGATGCACATCAAAAATTCAAGGTTAACTACTAGAAAAATATAGCGTACTGCTTCTGAATGACTTGAGTAAAAAACAGGAACAAGAACAAAAGCAAACAAGAAGTTGATCAAAGACAGGACAGTAACAAAACAAGAAACATGGTAAAATAAGGTATGTTACTCCAAGCACATCAGGGACTCCAACAGAGGGCTTATAGGAGGAGAAACAAAGCTAGGAGCTATTTACAAGAGATACCCCTAAAATAAACCACCACCACGAAGGTAAAAATGAAGAAATGGGGAAAAAAAAACACATACCAGAAAAATGCGACAAGAATACAGTAATCTCAGATAATACAGAGTTGGAGGCAATAGTCACTAACAGAAAACAGAGGCACATACTTAAAAAAAAAAAAATCACACTCCACAAAAATCCTAATAGTCACACACAGTTGTGCATTAGCCCCAGAATTTCCAAGTACAGAAAGCAAAAAATCTTCATAAAAATATAAGGAAAATATATAAGCACAGTAGGTCTAATATCCTTGAAATCCTCCCCTATATATCCTCTCCAGGTTTCTCCTCACTTCTTAGCAAACTCTTATAAATTGTTTAAGGTCACTTTTTCTCGGGTGTCCATATATTTCTGTCCTAAAAGCAGACAAGTGATAGAGCTAAGGGTAACAAGGATGGCCATGGTGGGTCTTGAGGAGAATAGGCATCCCCTTTCAAGACATCTGCTCTAGTTGAGGTGATCACGTAGGTTTCAAGCAAAGAAGGGCAAGCTCTTCAGTTACTGGTGGGCAGGACACTTCCAGGGACAAGGGAAGCTTGCGGTGATCTGGGGCTTTAAGACTGTTCGTTTCATCAGAGTCTAACCTGACATTTCCATTCCAAGTTTTGGAATCCCACCCTTTCCCAGTCGATGCCCTAAACTCGAACAAAAGAAACTTAGCAACACTATGAACTCAGCACTCCTAACTCAACAATCCACACAATTAAATTTTGTACCTGACTTTTAGCACGATCAGCCCTGTGACTACAAGAAGTACTAATCCTTGGAGGGCCATAATAAAAGCTCTCTGCTATCCTATAATCACACCAGAATCTGAGCTGAGAACTAATGGACTTGAACTTGTCCTTTCCTCTCTGTAAACACTCTAGTAGACTCAGGCCAATCCGTCTCCACAGCTGTGTTCTTTAGTCCTCATTACTGATCTAACAGTCCAGTCCAGCAGTTGCTTGAGATCTCAAGACATTTGCTTCCATTGACATTGCATCACAATTAACCACAGGTGATAGCTTGATTCCTTGTGATTCCACGGCATGCCAAAGATTACCAGCATCCCATTAGCAAGAAGCAGAGCACCGCACTTAAGCGTGTGTGTGTGTGTGTGTGTGTGATATTTATCTTCTGGGACCACTCCCAGTACCAATTCTATCATTCAGGACCCAGGCAAGAAACAAACCACATAGGAATTTGATCAGGGAAGATTAATATAGAGGATCTACAGGGAGGCTATACTAATAGAGAACAGGGCTAAGGAAGAGCAACCAAGGAACACACGTAGAAGAGCAGCCCCTTCCCCCAGAGATCCCCAGATTCAGATCTCTTTCTAGAGGACAAGCGTACAGCCCACTGGATGGTGGAGGAGCACTCTAGATGCTTAGGGCCAGACCTGGTCCGAAGCGGGGGAGCTGAGGCTAGGGTCAGGAAGCCTCCGGCTGGGTGCCCACAAGCCGAGCAGATGGGCTAGGGGCTGGGGACACAACCTGCTAGAGAGTAAGCACCTCTCAGCGTCCTACATAGTCCACTGCCAGCCAGGAGACAAGCCCAGCAGGAAGGCGCCCCCCGCCTCCTGCAGCGTCCGTCCAGCACCCTCTACCGACAAATGTTGGCATTGTGCCGGCTGGCAAAGGAGAAAGGCTTACAGAGTCTAGCTCCATTATCCAGGCAGAGAAGGACACGTTTGGGGTGGGGAGACAGTAAATTGGTAACTAACTTATTCACTCTCCATTGCACCCCCTCTTCCTTCACCCAGCTCTATAGCTGTCCCGGGGCTCTTGACCTGGCTCAGTAGAGTAAACCTTCATTCCCAGTGGGGTTAGCCCTGGGCAGTAGTGGCTGGAGAGTGCCCCTGGAGCCATCTGCCAACCTGTATTATGGACCTGGTAGTCGCAGGACAGAACCCAGGGGGAGCCCTAGATGTCTGCCGTCCATATTTCTCCACATCCTCCTTGGGCAAGGAAACTCTCCCTCGATAGTTTAATCAATCACTCCAGTCAACAGTGGGTTGTGTTGTTTTCAGTCACTGTTGCCCATTTACCCGGTATGACTCCTGAAGCCAGGACGGCCAGGTGGCTCTCTCAACATCCAAATTCAAGAGAGAGATCACGGTGTCTCCTGGAGGAAGCATGTGGCCTTTGGGCACGAACACCTCGGAGCTCGCAGAGCCCAGAATCACAGGAACAGGAAACACTTTGTGAGTTATCGTATCATCATTAGACAGAGTGGAGGGAAAGTTACAGAGGAAAAAACCGAAGCACATAGAGGTTAGATAGCTCGCGGAGGTTGCACGGTTTACAGACTGCTCATCGGGAACTCAAAACCACGCCTGGCTCCCAAGTCCACGTTGTTTCCAATATACCAAGTGGCCTCGCGGCTAATCTGCCAGAATGCTGTCAAGTATGAGCGATGACCACGACATCGGACCCGACCTCCGGGCCTGCGTCTCCGCACCCAAGAGAATCACCTACACCTCACAGACACGCGACGCCCGTAGGCGTGCTTAGCTGCCCGCAGCTTCCCCTGCCTGTTCGTGCTGCTCATCGCCCCCCAAAACGGCATTTACCCAACGATGTTGAACCCGGGCGCCCCGCCTATGCCGCGAGAGGGCTCTTCGCTTACGTCCGAGCGGGACTTCCTCGGAGCTGGGGAGCCGACCGCAGCACCAGCCCACGGGGCCAGACCTCCAGCAACGGTCTGACCACACTTCCCACCCCGCGCGCGGCGGACGCCGAGTTTGGCTCCAGGGCGGCGACCGTGATTTTGCAGGGAAGGAAAGGCTCGCAACGGGGGACGGACGAGCGGGAGAAACTTCAAGCCGCTGAGGGAGAACAGCTGACCTCGGAGACCGCCTCCAAGCACGAGCGTGGCTGCTCGGGCAAGGAGCCGCAGGGCGAAGGAGCCCTTCCCGGTGGTGAGCCGTCCAACTAACGCCTGTCCTTGGACGTGGTGGGCGTGCCTGGCGCAGCCTCAAGACCTCGGCTCTACGGGGATCTCCAACCCGGGGGCGCCCTAATAGCTGCAGGAGAAACACGTGGCTCGGATTTGGGGAAAGATCCGAACTAGATCCTACAGATCATGCTGAGTCTAACAGTCTTTTTTTTTTTTTTTTTTTGAGAAGCAGCTGACCCTGATGTAGTTACTCCCTTTGAAGATGAGACTTCATAACAATATAACTTTTGAGCGCATGGGTCAGCCCCAAGACCAGGCTCCAGTGTGGGTTTTAGAAACATGATCTCATTTGTGTGGCTCTAAGTACTCACTCAGGGTCAGGCATGACTCATTCACTCATTCCATTTTACCACTGAGTCAAGGGAGGGACGAGGCAGAGCCCATCTTGGGAAATGGTGTGGAATGAGAACAAGTGCCCTGAGCTCTGCCATCCAGCTGGGTTGCTGCCACCCACCCCCCTGCATTCCTCCCTCCAGGTTCCCGGAGACAGGCCCCCTTCCTGTCTGCTTCCCCCACGCCCTGCAACCCATGTCCTTCGTCTCACGCCCTCAGACCCCAGATGTCGGTGGTGAACCTGATTCACAAATCAGGGCACGTGTGAAGCGACAAATAGGCAATGTACCATCATGTAAGTAGATCTGTAGTAAAATCTAGCTTTCACCTCTGAAGGGACAAGTGATTGCAATGACTTCATTTCTGCTTTAAAAAAAAAGAAAGAAAGAGTGCGTGTGACCCTATGTGATCTGGAAGGCCCTGCACTGCCCACATCCCCTTTCTGAAGAAACAGCCTTATAGAGAACCCCATCTCCTCCACCCACGGCACTGGCGGACACCGGACCACAGAGTGGTCAGTCCAGACTTCCAGTCTGGCCCAAAAAGGTGAACTCTGCAAATCGTATTTTTTTCAGGAGAATTAGAAAACTGAAGGCAGCTAGAATGGCAGGTAGCTAGGGTATCATGGTCCGGAAGAAACTCTCCAACCAAGAGAAGGAGGGCAGGAGAGAGAGAGAGAGAGTGAGGGGGATGGCTGCCTTGAGAGTTTCCTGAGTCCCCGGTTGCCTTCTAGGCTTCCAGAGCTAGTCCAAGGAGACTTCCCCTCCTCTCGGCCTGTTCTTGGATGTCCGTGACATTTCCTCTTGAATTTCAACACTGTGACAGCACGACCTAGAGGGTGAACAAGGTCCATCAGTTAGCAGCAGAGCTCAGAGCAAAATCCTGGCCTCCAAACCAAAACCGATGTAGGGGCGATCGTGAAAATAGCCAACAATTGTATGGCAGAGGCCCCACTCATCGGAATGGAGGTCTGCCCTAGCAGACGCCAGCGGAGGTACACTGACCTCCAGCTTAAGGCTGGCGGTGGGTCAGGGCACTTGAAAGAAGGCCTTCGACAATGGCTTCACACCTCCCTAAATGAGATCATGCTGTAAGAGCTTACCATAAATTAGCAAGTGTGATCCGGTCTTCACATTTCTCCCACCCAGACTCGGCCCTTTTGGTATCACCCCACTTTCCATGGTGCCTGAAAGGAGTGGGGGTGGGGCCCTTCTGAAACACAGGGAAAATCTCCCTGGTCTGGTACACAGACCAAATCCTTAGGTGGAACTCAAGTAGTCACTTCAAATTTTGTTGCTCTGTATCCACATGAGTTCGAATGAGGCAGGGTGTGGCTGTCAGAGCAGGGAGAAAATCTCTCTGAAGCTCTCAGGGGTGGGGGTGGGGTTGAGGGGGTAGATTGTGGATAAAGACAGTGTTAGTGTCCCTGGTAAAAAGCAGAGGCATGCTGTCTCCCCGTAGAGGAGGACCACTCACTCCTTCACATGATCCCTGTTGAGCTCTGCTAATACCTAAATATTTCATTTTGATTTTAAACTGTTGCAAACAATATCACTTACAGTATATCGACATTTTAAAATAAAACTGTCCTATTATTCTCTTAATAAATAGAATAGAATAAATAAATAGAAAAATAAATAGAGATAGAATATGACCAGAGGTTGAGATGGGAGGCTGAGAAATTCTCTTTACGGAGCTGAGATGATCAGGATCCAGGCAAGGTAGTAGGGCAAGAATTCTCTAGGCAGAGGAAACAAGTGCAAAGGCCCTGAGGCAGGAACAAGCCCGACTTGTTTGAAGATCAGGACACTGTTAGTGTTTCAGACACATAGCAGACAAAGAAAAGAGTAGTGAGAGAGAGGCTGTAAGAGAGAGGGATAGCCAGGGGGGGCTGGATCATGTAGCATTCTGAAGGTCATTTGTGCTGATTTCTTTTGGCCCCTCCACACTCTTCACCCCTATGCCCCTGTCCTGGGCTCCAGGAGCCTGACCTGTGTCTCTGTCCATGGGCTTGGGTAACAGGTGACTTCTCGATGCGCTTAGCCAAGGGTGCGCTCCAGCAGGCCTGAAGAGGAAAAAGCAGGAAGGTGGGGTGTTTATTGTCCTGGCTCCCTTCTTGCAGGGTCCCATGAGCCAGTTGGGTTCCTCCAGCGAAGATCCCAGCTCCTGTCAGGGAGCCTCTCCACCCCTGCCTCTGTTTCTGGTTACTACTTTCTTCCCCTGCCTTCCCACTTCCTTTCCCACTTCCCTTCGTGCCTGGGGTGATCCCACCTGCTGAGATAGCCTTGGGTACTTCACTCTCTCTTGTGGTTTCCCTACACCCTCCCCATATTGGGAAGAAGTCCCTTCACGTAACTCCTCTCCAATTATCCCATCTTGCGTGGGTCATCTGTCTCCTCTTGGGACCCTGTTTGGTACACCAGGTTAAAGTGCTTACATTGTATTAAGTGATATTCTCAGATCCTTTGATTATTGTCTTCCATCCTGTGAAATTATAAAGCTGTTTCTCAGATCGTTTTTATTTTAGCTTTCGTTTCCAGGGCTTTGATGGGGTTACAGGAAATGCAATAACTATACACATGATGCATGACGGAGCTACGCGATGCTTGAGAGACAATCGGTCCACTGAGAACAAAATGCAGTTGGAGGCCATGAAGTTCAAGTCTTGAGCGGCATTCCCAGGCACAACCCTCTCTGGGGAATGTGGCCCCAGTAGCTGCAGGGCCCATTCCCCTCTGCAGGTTAAAAACTTCCTCTTCCCCCTAGTGGTGTTGTTTGGACAACTTTTGAGCCACAACCATATTTAGTCATATTTGGGGAGAAGGGAGGGAGGGGCGGGTCAAAAGCCAAAAAGGAGGGCGCCTGGGTGGCTCAGATGGTTAAGCGTCTGCCTTCGGCTCAGGTCATGATCCCAGGGTCCTGGGATCGAGTCCCACATCGGGCTCCCTGCTCCTTGGGAGCCTGCTTCTCCCTCTACCTCTCTGTCTCTCATGAATACATAAATAAAATCTTAAAAAAAAAAAAAAAGCCAAAAAGGAAAATAAAGAAGGTATATATACTTCCATAGCTGAGATCAGTTTACTCCTAGCATACGGGTCCGGGAAAGCCTCAGTCAGAGGTCACGTGGGAAACAAAACCAACCAAACAGAAACCTCCCCCTTCAGCTGGGTGGACACTGGCTGCTTTCATTCATCTCAATCCAAGAAACATCATGTCCAGTCACGGCTTTGTCACTCGGTGGGAGCCTTAAGTGGCTGCCAGGAAGACAGCCCATGCTAATCACTGCAAGTCACAGCTGTCTTGTTCTGTTTTTTTTTTTTTTTTAAAGCGAGTTTCCTTCATCAAGATAACAGAAATGTACTGACAAAAGGAAACTTACAGACAGCCCAGAGGGGAAGCAGGAGGTTAAGAGTGAATTGCCCAGTTAACAACAGGAACATATGCAGAGGAGAAAGTTTCCCTCCCCTTGGATGCTAAGCCAGGTTCCCAGCACCCTGAGCTGCTCCAGGATGGCACCCGGTCCTGGGGCCGTATGTTGGCACCAGATGCCATGCTCACACCTTCTGAGAAAGCCAGAGAAGGCCAAGGGGCGCATGGGCTCAGGAAAATAAGAAGCGAAGAAGAAAGGATGTAGAGGTTGGTTAAAAATAAAACTTATCAGATGAGAATTAAGTCCGGAGAATGTTATCTCTCCCCACAGGAGGGTGGGAAAAAAGAAATAGGCATGTCAAGGAGAACACAGGCCACAGGATGAATAAGCATAAAAATAGGAGGAAATGACCAAGCGAACGTGCCAACTCTGCAGGAGGAGGGCCTTTCTTGAGCTTCCAGGACAGGCCACAGGAACCCTCAAGGGGATACGCAAGAAATGGGCCAATGGACTGTTTCTTGGGCCGAGATACATTTCTTTCCCTCTATACCTTTTTCAAATCCCTCCCCGCCACCCGACATGTGCCTTTATTACCTTTTCAGAAAAAAATAGAGGTCTATGGAAAAGGTTCTTGGGGAATTCCTACTTACCAGCATTTTTATGGCAGGTAACCTCGTCCCCCATGAATTGTTCAAAACTCCAGAAGTTGGTAAGTGCTTAAGCCCTTCCCCAGCTGCTTGTTACTGCTTCCTTCAACCTCGCCCAGCCCTTGGGCTCTGGGCACAGCTGGCCACCCCCCCACCCCCACCCCCCCACCGCTTGCTGTCACAGCTCCCTTCGCAACAGGCCGACCACACCCGGCCCCTGTTCTCTTCTAACTCCCATTTCCCTGGAAGCTCAGGAATGATAAATAAAATTTTGCCGTCCCAAGTCACCTTCTGCCTTGTACATCCGCCAGGCATCTGTCAAAAGGGTTACGCTGTGTTCCCTCAAAAAAAAAAAAACAGGCACAAAACAGACTCCTTATTAAATTAATTTTTAATGACCCAGTGTTTATCTGCTCCTAAAATTATGAATTTCATTCCACAACTGCTCTTAAATCTGCGATGCAAAATTGTGGCAATAAAGCACAACCACCACTCTCCGAGCTCCTTCTCAGGCTTTAAAAAAGGAATCACAAAAACGGTCTTTATAAATTTTCTGAAAAATCTCAGCACTTGGGAGCATGAGCAGCAACCACGTCCAAAAAAGCTGACTTTTCCAAGTGCGAAGTTTATCAAAGGTCAAACAAACAGGATTCAAGAAAGAAATCTGGTGCTTTTTCAACAAAGCATTTAAGTAAGCAAAAGAACTGTGTGAAAAAAATTAAAATGACATCCTTCTATAGACCACCTTAAAAAGATTAGGCAGAGACTGCCCAAGTGCCTTTGAGAATTAAAAATGTTTCTAAATCGCCACTCAAGGTCACTCAGAGGTGATGAAAGTATTGCTGAGATGCAGGGGCCTTGCTCCGGCTTCTCCCTTAGTTTCTACTTATCGGATGGAGAATCATCAGTATCAGAACAATACTGACATCTCAGCTCGACCTCAACCCCAAATTGGGAAGATGCCTCAGAAAGAAAAATCTGCTTTCCTCCTCCAGAGTTCATCAAAACAGGGACAGGAGGGCAGCATTTTGCACACTGCCCAGACATCCCCTGATGAGGCACTGTGGTCTGCTGGGAGGCCTCCAAATGGCACCCAGGAAAACCAGTTTTCCCCTCTGGAGGCCACCCCCTGCTCCTGTCTAGCATGAGCCTGAGAGGCCAATGTTGGACACAGACCCAAAGTTCCTCAAGCATCCGGGAGAGGCATGCAGGAAAGATCCCATTACCAAGTCAAGGGAGACCTCAAGTAGGAATTGGGTGATTTCTGTTCCTGTGGTTTACATGGAATAACTGACATTCCTTTAGGAGGCTGGGCAGGAGACGCCTGTTGATAACCAAAACATTATGTAAAAATGCGAGAGGCAAGCTCCCCTTCTCCCAACTCCACTCATTCCTTCTCTTCTGTCTGCCCTCTCCTCCACAGGAAGCAGAGACCACCAGAGACCACGGTCACTGAGGACCCACAAGTCCCAAGTCCAATCCTGGGTGCTACTCCGTCCGTTACCTCGTCACCTCAGACGAGCCACCTCACTGTTGTGAGAACATGTCGTGTGGAGAGAAGAGCTGTGTCACAGCAGCTGCAAGGAAGAAACCTGTGAGCGCCCCTACTGCAGGCCTGGCCTACTGGTATTCTCAGAGGCCCCAGAGTCATTTTACCAATTGTTCTTTGTCCAGACTTTTTAACCTTTGACCCTGGCCTTGCAAATGTAAAGGAGACAGGCCTTAGTAAATGCAGCCTCTCAAAGGACCTAACCTATCAACATGGAGAAACAGCAACATATTAAAAAATTCACATTCGGATGGGAGTCGAGTGGGTCTGAGAGTAGATTGGTTCTTGAATCTAAACCAGCATCTATGACCCAACAGACTCAACTATAACCAGCTTCGTTTTGAGAAAAAAACTATTTCTCTCTACTCTGTTTGGACAAGTCTCTCACCACCTCACTGACCAGTAGTATTTTTTTTCATGTCATTCAAAGGATTCAAGACTGAAGCTAGGTCAATCTTGTATCCTTTGTACTTAAAATAACTTGACCAAGAACATCCTTTGGGCTAGTCCTTATAGTTAATCAAATATAAAAGTACCTGACATGTCCAAATTCCTCTTTTATACAAACTGCTGACCCAGCATGGCATTTCCCATCATTGCTTTCTAAAACACAGGAAATTTCGGGACTGAATGGCCAAAAGAAATTAGGATGACCTAGCCTCGAAAAAAACCTGAGCTATTTAAAGAAGAAAAACAGAATCACGTCTGAATGGATAATTCATGATTCAGACAGCCCAGCATTTAATTGATATTAACTACTCTACTAAAGATCTATTTAATGCACTTAGGTAAGACTTTTTATTTCCATGAAATTGGATCTTTGGTTCAAAATTGAATCTCCTGCCGAGGACTCTGCACTATAATAGGTGACGTAACACTGAGGTGGGCCCTTAACATGTCATTGCCAGGAACATAAAGGAAATTGATCAGATTATTTGCCAAATAATGTTTCTTCATAGGGGCTAAGTCCTCCCCTAAGTGGGCTGTCAAAAGAGAGAAGCAAAAAGCAGACACTGTTCGTTTTATTTTCCAGGTTCGATCTTCTAGGGCTCAGATTCAACCATGAGAAAAATCAGTGCATTAAAAATTGATCTGGTATTTAGTTTATTGGTTTACAGGACCTTTGTCTGAAAGGAATAAGCAAGGCCCAAGAGGTCGGATCTTTTGGCAAGTCAAAATAATGACTCAAGTGAAAGATACAAGACATACTATTGGAATGACATGATATTCCTTCAGAATCTTGTCACTAGCGTCCTCATGACATTAGTAACCATGGAAAAAACTTCATTACAATTTTATGGGATACGAAATTCCTAGAGAACAACGTTCTTTCCTTCTCTCATCCTGAAGTTTTTCAAAATTGTTCCAAAGGAGGAATGTACTCTGTCTTATCTGAAGCTATTGTCATGTTCCTCCTACAGTCCCAAGCTACTGAAGGGCAGAATTTTTCTTTGTTCAGTTTTCAAATTCATGGTGGTCAAAGACCTAGTCCAACAGGGAAACAGATATGGAATGACACTAGGACCAAAGCTTTCTACCACTCTTAGCCTCAATCTGTAAGTCAATGAGAGAAAGAGGTGTGTAAAAACTTTTAGCGAGCCTTTTTTGCCAAGGATGGAGGAAATGAATCGAGCCACGAAAACACTAAGGTAGGAGAGGAAGTTTATTCAACAAAGTATTTACTGAGCCCTTAATGTGCCAGGCACTATTTTAGGTGCTGGGAATACATTCCATTGATTAAAAACATACAAAAATCCCTGTCTTCATTGTGCTTACACTCTAGAGGAAGGATACGAGACAATAAACATAATAAATAAGTAAATTACATAGGAAGTTAGAATGTGATAAGCACTATGAAAAAAATAGAGCAGTCGTGAGAATGAAGACAAGTCTTATCTGGGAATTTTCCAAAATCAGAAATGGAAAAAAAAATAAGCTTCTTTCTTTGAAAATGTATATACCTATAAATGACAAAAGAATATATTTCTGGCTCTTTCATGTTCATGCATGGGATTTGTATGCAAGAAACTAAGGGGATTTAAAAAACGAAAATGGAATTGAAAACTAGAAAGACTAAACTTTCATAGAATAGGTGCACAATTCAGGATTCTTGATGCAGTGGAAACTGTGCTTCCTGCAGTAGTAGGACCTTCCACATTTCTGGCAAATTCCACGGTTCTGGACATACTGCCAACCACCGTGGATCTGAGAGTCAATTCTGTTGAAGAAAGGCTACTAGGGACAGAAAACGTGGACAAACTCAAATAGCCTTCTGGGATTTTTTATTTCCATTTCCTTTTTAAAATACAACACCCCATTTTTTTGTTATTGTCTCATTCTGTTAAACAAGAAGGGTGAGCTCATTCAAAAGGAAAACTGAAACACGGGAATGCCTACATTTCCAACCCCACTGCCATTCTCAGATGGTCCAAGATGCACACAGGTTTATCGTGTATTGGTAGACCCACGTCTTTCGATACCAGTTACCAGAGATTCTTGCCGCTGAAGCTACCTACCAGGTGGGTTCTTTTCCCCTTCGATTGAAATTCAAACTCCATTTCAACAAAGTAACCCAAACAATTAAGGTCTAGTTTTTGCCTCTGGGGAATTAGGTTCTCCAAGTAAGAAGTGAAAATAAAAAATAGATGGTAGATCATCTTTGACCAGAAAGCCCTACTTTCAGCAAAATGGGGCAGAGGCAGCAAGACTAGGTTGCAGGACCAGGCAAAAGAAAGTGTCCACCCACAGGATACTTCTAAATTGAGGACTAGGACAGCAGCCCCTTCTAGAGGTAATAATGTCACTAGGTTGTGGTAATTCTCCAGAAACCCCATAAACCCGGGATTAAGAACATCTGGAAACTGTTCAGATGACACCAATTTCTGTTTCCTGCTGTGAAGGCTACACGGATGCCTCTTGGTGGCATCTGTCGCCATTTTGTTTTTCTTTGCAAACCTCCTCCTTTCAAACCAGGAAGTGTACATAAAGTGCAAGTAAGATTCATTCCCTTGCCCATGCTTCCAGGATCTTGTGTTGATGGCCAGTATTACCAAATCTATCAGTTCAACCACTGGCCACCTAGGTCGTCTGCAGGTATTTCTGGAGTTAGCAAATGAGTTCATCTGGCAAAGAGAGTGTCCAAAGGTGGATGCAGTCTTGGCAAGAAAAGACAAAAGTACCATATGTAAGACAGGGATGTGAATGATGCAAGCAGTAGGGGGGCTTCTTGTCACCAAGTCATGGAAGAGGCCTTCTTTAGATCTCAACTCTTAAAGAGACCTCAGGAACCATTACTAAAATGAATGAGGCCAGCGGATTTCAGAGCACGGTCAGTCTTCAGTGAGGGCAGGTTCAGTTTTCCCTGGGTTGGGGACAGAAGAGAAAATAAAGAGGGTAAGGAGCCAGATCTGATGAGTTTAATGCCAGAAATGGCATGAAAAAAGCCTCCAGTGAAGACTTCCCGTCCTATAATACAAAGTTGAGCACAGTGACCCCCGCCCCGTAGGACTTAGCACAATGTGTTTTCTTCGGTTCCAAATGGGTAACAGGCAATGTTGCGAACATCTTTATTTCACTCT